AAAAAAAAAAATCAAATCCAAAAAAATCTGAAAAGAAATTATGTTGTGCAGAATTGCAATACAAACAGCTTTTGGCTGAGGGTCACATCAGAATTCGGCACAGAACTAAAGATAAAAAAGAAAATAACCATATCACACTGGCACCCCCCTTTAAACCCCTTTAGCCCCTTCAAAATTCATTTACACTCCCCTTTCCCCCCCTTGACAGCCAACACTCAAAAAAAGAAAAGAGCCCGGATCTGGGCTCCTCTCGGAGAGCACGGAAAAACCCCATCACCTTTTTTTTTTTTTTTGCCATGACCGGGTCACCCGGGCGTCAGACCCCCCCGGGCGTCAGACCCCCCCAGGCGTCAGACCCCCCCAGGCGTCAGACCCCCCCGGGCGTCATGCCCGGGTGACCGGCCGGTCATGAAAATCTTCCTAGATATTCAGTGTGTGTTGCAACTATTCTCCTCACAAAACAAAGAGTGACTGGTTTCTGGAGTTTGCACCTATTTGCAAATCTATGGCAAAGCTACCATGTTATCTTGTATTTGTTCCAGTGAAAATTGCAAAACACCCCCACGTAGATGAGTCAAACACGAATCTGATTTCTTAAAAATTGAAAAAAAAAAAAAAAACCTCATTGCTTCGCACCTTTCTTTTTTCATCAATCAACGAAAAGAACAATAAGAAGTCAAAAATACAGAAAAACTTCCAAGCCAAAAAGGCAAATTACCTCTTACTGAATGCGCGCGCGTGTGTGTGTGTGTGTGTTTTAGATTTTCCCCACAACAGCCCCAATTCCACCCAGGTGAATAGATTCAGAATCAAAGCAGTCTTTGTCCTATTGCAGACAACGAGAGCATTTGAGATGTCCAACATATTAAAGCAATTTTATAATTAGACAGTTTTTTGGTTGCCCTTGGGGTACCCCTTTCATCGTTCTTGCAGCTCCCCTTTTACTGTGCCTCTTACGCACAAGGCTGCCCACGTTGATTGTGGTTGAGCGGCAGCTGCCCACATCCCCGTGTGCCTTCACGGCCCACTTGCACGTTATTTCAGGAGGCAGAGTAAAAGGGAAGGTATGCTCCTGTGCATCTCTTCGGAGCTTCATACTCCTGTTCATTTCACTTCAGATCTTCAGCTTATACAGTCTTTGTGTCCATCCTTCATCTTCATACTTCCGTTCATTTCATTTCTGATCTTCATATCGTCTATACTCTTAATGATGCTCATTCGCATGTATTTGTTAGTAGTACAAGGGGAGTGGAGGGGAGGGTGGAGGGTAAGGGGTAGAAGGCGGAGTTCTCTAGGAGTATGGGGCAGGGGAGGTAGGGGCAACGGGAGGGCAGGATAGAGTATGACATGCAAAGAGCAGGGGAAAGGTGTATGACGCGTTTCACAGATTTGTAAATGTGTGCGTGTGTGTGGGGAGAGAGAGAGAGAGAGAGAGAGAGAGAGAGAGAGAGAGAGAGAGAGAGAGAGAGAGAGAGAGAGAGAGAGAGAGCAATAAAGGGGGAAGGAGAGGAGGACTGGTGGAGGGAGGG